AAAATAAGTAAGTTATTCGGTTCAGCTGAATTTTCATTATCAGTACCATTCATTTCTTCTCTTTTTTAAACTTATTATAATAGTTACAGAGATAGTATCATTGATTACATCAAAATAAACTAAATATGATTAAGTGCTAATAATAATTATTATAACAATAATAATACCATTTACAACAATAATGATTAATAATAACAACAATAGTAATAATAATAAATAAAATATAGAGTAAAAGACTAATTTGTAATGTTGTGTGCAAATTTTATGGTATAACTGTAATGACTAAAAGATATAAAAGAGAAGAGAGAAGAAAAGGTAGGGAAGAAGTGAAAGAAGTAATAATAGCAATATTTGAAATTAAAAATTTCGTTGATTTCTATTTCCAGTAGAAAAATTCGCTTACTTCAAATTACTTTTATAAATGAAGGAAAGGAAAGAAAACGAATTTTTTTTTTTGTCTTTTATTCTTTTAGATACCGCTTCTCGTATTTGTCAATAAAATGGATGAAAAAGGTGCAATGACAACGTCGGAAATTAGCGATAATATAGGCTTAAATTCGATAAATAATCGAAATTGGCGTATCTGCGCAACATGTGCAATCACAGGTGAAGGCCTCAAAGATGGCTTTCAATGGTTGTTGGAAAACATTCGAGCATGTACGGAATCTAAGAATAGTTGAAATTAACAAAAGTAAATTTCACATTCGCTAATCGTTTTATCTACTAATCATTCATGTCAAAGATATATTTTACATATAAACATATATAAATGTTTGAATGTATTATAAAATATAATCATTAATTTATAATTGAATTAAAATTTGATTAGAAGACTTTATATTTACTTTTTTATTTTGAAGAAATAAATGAATAATTTGTGTAAATTATATCATTTCACATGTGTTATCATTAAAAACTATGAAAAATTTTGTAATATTTTATATTAATGAATATAAGTAAGTAAACTCATTACAAGCAATATTTTTTTTCTTTGTTAGAAAAAATAATAATGATATGGATAATTTTCTATAAGTTTAATATTAATTAGTTTCCTTTTTCTTTCTTTTCTATAAACTAACTGTTTTAACTGCAAAAATTCAAGATTTTGATTTCTTCTATTTTTTTCTATATTTCATTTCATTATGCATAATATAATGTTAAATTAAAAGGATAAGTGTTAGATAACTGTAAAATGAGTATAAAAATTTTAACAAATTTTGAAAAGTTTCCAAAAGTGATTAGTTGAAAACTATGCATCATTCTCATTCTTAATTTGCATAAGGATGAATGAATGAGTGCTTCATCCTTTTGATAATTTATACACAATGTAATAGAAGCAAAAACTGTGAAAAGATATGCGATTGAGCATTGTTGATTTATTGTTGTGAATACATTATTCACGAGGACAGCTCAAGGCGACATCGGTAATAAAATATGACCTGACCGACAAACCAGCAACAACAATAATACCTTCATCTTTAAAACTGAAAAATCCACCGGAAATTATCGTTCATTCATTTCAATTCCATATATGTATTTATAAAGCATAAATGCAAAAATTTTATTTTCCAGTGACTGAACGTTTGAAATTGTAGGAGAATTAATTAGTATTGTCAAAGAAGTTATAACTATATAAAAAAAAAAAAAAAAAAAAAATTAGTTGAATTTTCAGAAGTTATAAAAATTTACGAACTAGTTGAATTTTCACTTACCCATTTTTTTTGTTTTTTTTCTGATACTGAAATAACTGTATTTAAATTAAGTTAATTTAAAGCTAATGCAATTGTAATTGTAAATCAAATTAAGTTAATTTAAAGCTAATGTAAATATAAAGCAATTATAAATCAAAATAATATGGTTTTTGAAATTTTTATTTGAAATAATCAAAATAGGACACTTTTTGTGTTCTACTGTATATGAAATTCATCTTGGTTTAAACAAAAAATTTTAATTTAATTATCAAAATTTAGCTAAAATTATCTTAGTTCTTACTTTTTCAACGCTAACTTTTAAATCAATAACTTTCATGACATTTAGCACTTTTCGTTTTATTTTTTTTTTCTCTAACGTGAAATAAATCAATAAATGCATTTTTTTCTTTTATTTATTTCACAATTGAAATATTCACTTCTGAATTGCTAGGAAAAATGAAAAAGCTCATTAAAAAAGTGGCAAATTGAATAAAATGTTCGATAAAAAAGAGGAGTGAATCTAGTAATTAAATTATAATTAAATTGCACTAATTAGAAGTTAACACTTACGAACAAAAGCAATAAAAGAATGACATATAGAATTTGAATGATAATAAAAAACAGTTCGGATTAGAAAAAGAAATTTGTCATATTATTTGAAAAAAAAAATCGAAAAGATAATGATGAAAAAAATTACTGTATGGTTTTTTATATTTCATAAATCTAAGCACCAATAAGTATTTAACACTAATTAATTATTTGATTATTAATAATAATAGTATAAAATAGTAACAATAATAGTAAAAACAAGAGTAATAAAAATAATAATAATGACAATAGTCATGATAATGATATCATTCTTACCAACATAACAGTACTAAAGTTTATGTGATTATCAATATTATCATCACAAAATAATTATTTTTTAAGTTATTAAAAACCTTAGTTGATTGGTGTTAATAAAATATTTCATAGTATTTTCATTCAAATTTTTCTTATCAAGCGAATAAACATTAGCATTGAGTACTATCGAGCGACTGATATGAAGTACTTTCGATGAAATGCCCTTACTATCAAATTATCATTTGTTTATATTATCATCTATACGTACAATAATTTTGAACTTTTTAAAATACAAACACTTTTTTTTTTTAATTTTCCTTTTCTTTTCTCTTTCCCTCTCTTCTTCTCTCTCCCTCCCTCTCTCTCTTTCAAATGAAAGAATATTGTACAATAACTCTATTGAAAGCATTTGGTGGTAGACGATCATAAAATCCCCGGTCAATTTAGTTCCAGTGTAACCGATCTATTATTTTCCACTCATTATTCATCGGGCAAAGAATAGGTAAGGAAGTAATTGTACTATTTTGGTTAGGATGTGAAGTAACGAATTTTTATTACTTTTATTTGCCTTATAGAACTACTACTGCTACTAATACTGCTACCACTATTATTACTATTGCTTTACTAATCTAAGTAACTATTGCTAATAATTATTAAGTATTATAGGTATTATCACATTTTCACTTATATTTTCTTTATTTTTGTTATTGTTTTTTTCAGAAGGAAGCAAAAAAAAAAAAACGCTTTTAGTGTTATAAAAATAAATCATTAATTTGTTTTTTTGTTTTTTTTTTTCATCGTTTTTTTATAAACTACTTAGAAATAATTAATGCAAAAAAAATGAAAAGAGAAAAAAAAAAGAAATTTGAAAAAAGAAAAATACTTTGATGATATACGGTAATAAAATTCTCAAAAGGTTAACCATATGTCATATTTTGTGTAAGAGCGGAATGTTACTAGTTTATCTTTATATTTATTTTTCCGGAAAGGATATGTGTTACGGTCATTGAACACTCACAATATCATTTCATCACATTGCTTCATTAAATTTCATCACTAATTGATTGGCTTATCCAATAATCTCAATATTATCGGTCGGAATTCCTTTTTTTTTTTTTTTTTGTTGTTAGAAAAAGTGGTTTATTATTATTTTATTTAGTATCACTATTCTTTTTCTTCTTCTTCTTATTATTATTACTGGTTTTATATCATGAAGTACTGATTTTATCGAAATATATAAATCGATTAGCATGGTAACAAGCTCATTGAAAATTTATTCAAGCATTAGTTAAATCATATGTTTATTTCAGGATAAGTGGTAAAGCAAAATAAAACATGACATTTTTTGTCAATTAAAAAACTGCATAAAATGAAAATCGAATGAATCTATAGAAAATATAAAATTGCTGAAATTTTTTGTTTACAGAAAACCATTCCGAATATTTTATAAATATAAAAATTTCAATAATCTATATGCATATTATCCACACTTGATTATTCCCTTATCATAAATAAAACAACATGGACATTCCATATCATACATATCTTCTCTTCTACTCATTAATTGGTTAGATCCCTAATCTATTATCAGTAGCAATTTACGATTAACATTAAAGAGCAATTTTAGCATTTCAATATTCCTAGAAATGAGATGGACTAAATTTGGTGATAATAATTAAAGTAACATAATTATGATGAAATAAAAAAGGGATCAAAAAAAAAAGAAAGGTGAAAGAAATATATTAATAGTGTAGGGTTGATCACATGTGGCGTTGTGTCAAAATCGTAAATCTTCTCTGAAACATTTCGGGGTTAACTTTATCCAGAAAATAACCATCAACTATTATATTGGTTTAATTTAAAAAGGATTTACCGCTGGTAACATATCTCATTTCTTCTTTTTCCTTTACCTTCTTCCTTTTCTGTCTTATTTTCTTCTTCATATAACTTTTTAGGATGTTTCTAAAAGGCGGAAGAAGTGGGGTAAATGAATAAGAAAAAGGAGAAGGAAGAGGAAGAGGAGCAGAAGAAGGAAAAAAAGAGAGGATACACGGTAGATTGAATGACGCCACGCCCAGATAAATAAAAAAATTTTTTGGTACACTTCTTAAAAACGGTCCCATCCATATTTGACTAATCTTTAAACGAAGCAAAAAGGTAGGCTTCAAACGGTAATACCATTTCACAACATAGTTACCATTATTCTTATTCTTATTTTTATTGAATATTTATTATTATTATTGTTATTATTAGTTATTAATTATTATTGTTGTTATGAGCATTAGCATTATTGTTATCACTATTATCATTATTATTATTATTATTAATTCAGTGATAGTAATGATATTGTTACCTGCTACTAGCGAAGATATCAACATTAAGGATTGGTTGTCAGTATCATTGTTACTAGTACTGCTGTTTTTTGTTTTTATTGTTATTATTACAATAATTATTATTATTGTCAGTATGACAACACCGCCGAATTTTAACAGTGTGGCTATGTTACCTGGTGCGTCGTATTTCTATCCAACAACGGCATCACAAGCATCACCCAAATGGCTTACCGATGGAAATCATAATCATTATCATCTTCATCATAATCATCATCAACCGAATTCGGATGATCAAATTCCACGATTTGTCAGTTCGAGTGGTTTTCGAACTTTACCAGCAACCGATCATCTTAAATATTCTGCCGATGTTCGATGGCCTTCCGAATTTGCTTATTCGATACCAGGTATTCATCCAGCTGCAGCTGCAGCAGCAGTCGCTTCAGTTACTCCGTCTGCATCTGAAGCATATCCTACTGATCCATTTCCATCTACTTCAATGGCACAATTATCCGGCAACTGTTGCTTGAGTCGCTTTGATAATACCGGAAGTTGTTATTATCCAAATCCTGTCCTAGCATCTCCGTATACTACTCCAACAGCTAATGAACATTTTGCCGCTGCGGAACATATTGCTCATTGGAAGGTAAATTTTCAAAGAATTTATTTGAAAAAAAAAAAGAAATGATGCAAACTTAGACAAATTAATGATTATTTACACATCCATTTAATCATTTATATCACCATAACTTTGCGTTTGTAAAGTTAAGAAAACCAAAAAATTGAAAGTAGAAACAAATTTGCATTTTACATTTGAAATTGTAATAATTTCAATTCTTAAAAAACTGAGACCACATATTAGCTCAATCTATATTTCATCATTTTGTAGGTTCCAACTCTTGCTTATGCATCATTAAATGGCAAACGATCAGCGACAATTCGCCTCCAACAACAGCAATCTACTTCACCACCATATCGTACAGGTCCCGGTACTAATAGTAAGCATTTCAGCATTTTTATCAATTTGTATTTCTTCATTTCTTTCTCTTTGTGCTTATTTAATATTTTTCCATTTTTTAGTAATTACTTCGTACAAAACTTACGATATCATTCGTGAAAAAAACAAATTGATAGTAATTTAAAAAAATTATATAGAATTACTTCATGTTTCAAAGGAAGAAAAACTTTTTTGAAACGCATAATATCTGTTATCAATAAAGTAGAAATGATAAGGACATATCATATCAATACGACTTTCCATACAATTAAACCTTCAGCACTTTTTTTTTCATCCTCTCCTTCTGTCTTCTGTCCATAAAGAATAATTTTCCTTTCATTTTTTTGTCACATTTTAAAAATTATAAATTGATAAGAGATGGTTTCTTTTTCTGCTCCGATATTATTTAAAAATTTATTCAAAATTTATAATAGCTGTCATTTTTCTTTATTGCATATTTTCATAAAGATAAGAATAAGAAAATGATTAATTAGAAATAATAAATAAGATGAATGTGAATAAAAAGTACAAGTCATCAATATAGTTGCATATTTGTGCCAGGTAAAAAAGTTTTAATCATTTTAATCTCTTTCTTATTTGTTTTTCTCTTGTTGACTTTGACAAAAAAAAAGGTGAAAAAGTAACCTGAAGTATTGTTATAGTAGAAATAATTTGTAAAGATAAGCTATCACTATTATCATTATGAAATGTATTAAATGAAATTTATTATTGATTCAAAATATACTAAATGAACTTAAATAGAAGAAGATTTACCGGATATTTTCTTTTTTATTTAAACTTTTTTATTTTGCTTTTTCAGTAAACACACTGGCAAGATACTTATAATGTTTGTTAGTCATTAGTGCTTTTTAAAAAATTTAGCTAGAAATTAATAGCAATATTGTTAATAGCTCAAACTATTATAATTAATTAGTCACATATAATTAAGCGATCAATAATTATTACGTGGTAATAATTTCATTAACTTAATGATCCTGTTTATTGTAAATATTATTATTTTAATTTATAACAATGCTGATCGTTCCCCTACTCGACAATCGATAACTTATGGTATCTTCTATTTCTTTTCTCAATAGTTAAATGAGAAAAAAAAAAAAAAAACGAAAAAGAAACTGCCAGAAACAAACTATTATTATTGTAATCATAAAATATGCATGGCGGATAATAATAGATTCTCGCACCAGAAGAAACACCGGTAGTTGTAAAAATTCCACATCGATAAAAAAGTAAGGTTATTTGAATGATTTACAATGGCATTAGCTGACATTTCGATGTATGTTTATACTTTAACCTCAGATACACGTGCGTACATATATACGCACACGTATAGATCGTTTCCTTTTTTTTCTTTATGAGATAAAATAGAGCGTAGAAAAGAGTGAGAGAAGAAAATAGGGGAATGATACCAAATGCTGAAAATGATATAATGACAATTGAAAATGTACTATGAAAATAATTTAAACAATTGCTATAATTAACATTACTTATGAAAAAAAGATAATCTAAAAAAATTTTTTTTAATCTTAAAATAGTGTCATCTTCATCATCAACTCCAATTACTTGATGATATATTTATCAGTAAATGCCTAATACTTTATTCAGCATTTAACAACTGTTTGTCTTAGAATGCTTGATTAGCTCTAATCAATTAGTGAAATGGAAGAAATGAAAAAAACATAGTTTTAAAGCCAATATACTTTTTAAATATGATAAAGATTCTTTGCATTTTTTTATCTGAAGTAAACAGATAGAGCATTAATTAACTAATTAAATGAGTGACATTAAATTAGTTTAAATAATTGTGGCATATTTATTGTAAGTTATCAATTTAGGTAAGTATTGAAAAGTTTGATCAATGGATTACAGTATTCCACTTTTTCAGTAGATTGGGAGATATTAATAATTGTTGTTCAATCTACCGTAACCCACCTTTTGCGTTATGTCGTTGTTTGGAGGAATTATCCTTGAAGGTCACCTGACTAATCATTTTTCCAAATACTATTGTTATGTAGTGCGGGGTTTCCAGGTAAGAAAGGAGAAGGATGAAAGTCATAAATAGATAGGTAATTGTATGGAAACTTCTGCAAAGTTATGAAATTTCAATTGAAGAACTATTTCGAAATTTTCCCATCATATAAATTACGATAACTTTGACAATATGAAATTTTAGTGTGAAGAAAAAGAATAAAGGAAAAAAATTTTGTAGCATTTTCTTATTAAGAAATATTACAATGGGAAAAGTCAATTTTATAAATTTAAAGCGAAAAAGAGTTTATTTAAATTTTTGCCAAAAACGAAAGCAAAAATATATTTACATTTTATTTCGTTCAAATTATTCTCTTTTTCTCTTCTCTTTATTCCAAAATGTAATAAAAATTTATATTTTTTAGATGTAAGAGTGCGAACAAGTGAAAAGTATCGTATGGTATATAGTGATTATCAACGATTAGAATTGGAGAAAGAATTTCGTACATCACAATTTATTAATTCCGAACGTAAATCACAACTTTCATCAGAATTGCAACTTACTGAACGACAAATTAAAATATGGTTCCAAAATAGGTTAGTTTTTACGTGGTAAAAAAAGAAAAAAGATTATGTTAAAAATGATAATATGTTTGTATTTCTTTTTTTTTTTAAGAAAATAATTTAAAAAAAAAATGGTTTCTTATTAAATCTTCATTCATGTATATATGTATATTTTACTGATATGTTATTTATTTCAGTCGGATGGTATAACTTTTCATTCTTTTAAAAAATAACCTAAAAAGATTAAAGAAATAATAAATGAAATAATATTGATAATTATGGATATATCTTCTTTATCAAAAATGGAATTTGTAGAAGTTATTGCAGAATTTTTAAAATAGTCCGCTCTGTATTTCTAGTTTAATGATTTTTGTTATGGAAGAACTAATAATTAATTAAGTGTGAAAAATTCACATTATCTATTTCAAAGATTATTAGAAATACTCCTGCTTTTTTGACTTAAACTAAATTATCTTTCCAGTGAAAAAGAAAAAGTAAATGTGAATTCAATTTGATTCAGTTATGTATTTATTTTCTTTAATATTTGCTGATTTTCGCTTTCTATTTAAAGACAAAATCTATTCATTAAATTCAAATCCATAAATTACCGATAATTTTTAAAATGAAATATGGACAATATTATAAATTAATTAATTAATATTTTAGCCGACAAAGTGTTTTTGTTAATCAAGATAATGAGGAATCATTACATGTTTCATTAAGGTAAATTTGTTTGCACTGATAATATCAGAATTCTATTCCTCTCACAACTTCCCCTCTTCTCCCTTCTTCCTTCCTTCCAATTTCGCGTTCACTTTTACCTAATCAAATACTGGATAAAAGGAAGTGGAATATCGGAATAGAAGAAAGTGAGCCATTTGCTAAAAGGTTGCGACAATTACGCAATACAAAGATTTGATTTATGTTTTGGGACAGTTGCGCATATAGATAGATATGAAGTGTATAATAAAAAGTTGATCTAAGGATAAAAAAATATACACAAAAGATATTTCCTTCTTCTATTTTCTTCATCTTTTTTTTTTCATCAATATTTAATGAACATTTTAACCTTTTGTTAAAAAAAGTTTTTTCAAAAGAATTTTATTTTATTAAAATGTGCACATATTCTTTGTTTTATTATCATCGCTTTTATTATTACTGTTGTTTTTCTACTAACATTATTACTGTAGTTTAAATGAAGTAATCGATGAAATTAATAAAATAACTATTAAATCAAGTTTATAAGTTATTAATTTGATGGATATTTTGTTGGCTTATCCTTTATGTTATGCATTCATTTGTCCTTTAAAAGTTTGTTTTTACTTTATTGCTAGAACTTAAAATCATTTAATTATAATATCTGATTAAAAGAAATTGCAGAAATAAAAATAATTACTTCAAATAAGTTTATTTTGATATTATCCAAGATTAATTAACTCATAAATATTTCTTTTATGTAATTTATCATTAATCATTCATGCTTACTTGCTAGATTTCATTTATATCTTAAAAAAACATATGAATATTTTCATAAATTTCAAGCATTCAAACTTCATTCTAACATTCTTCACATATATCATTGATCAATATTCTCTCCTTTTCTTTTTTCTTCTTTTTCTTTTGTTTGAATTTTTCAAAACCACAATTAAACATGAAATTTTTGAAAAAGCCATTTTGAAATGCCCGAATCGCTTTTGGCATACTTTTATTAAACCAATAGATAATTAGTAAAATTTAAAAGAACGAAAAATAACTGTTGCACGTTTTTATGGCGTAGTAAACTATTAATTGCAATGAAAAATTTCTGGCGGCAAAATAAATCTATCAAATATTTCTCAAAAAAAGAAAATTTTAAAAAGTTATAAAATTGTTTTACTATCTTTTTTTTCTCTCTTTTTCAAAGCGACTTGTATTTGACCGAAAGATAATTGTTGTAATTACTATGGAAACTTTAAATAATTTCAGACAATACATTTCTTCGGTTTTCCTCATTACCTCTTTTCCTTCCCATTTCATGCTTGTTATAGATACACAATCATAAAATAATTTTTATTTTAAATTTTTTTTCAAAATTTTACTAATTTCACTGTAGCTTTCAATGTGATATGTTGAAGTGATAAATACCCTATTGCAAGTATTATTATTATTATTATTATTATTATTATTATTATTATTATTATTATTATTATTATTATTATTATTATTATTATTATTATTATTATTATTATTATTATTATTATATTATCATTATTATCATTGTTATTATTATATTATTATAATAATATTTTTATTTTATTATTATTGTTTTTATCGAAATAATCATGTCCAAATTCCCTATAAACCAAAGTAGTAAATTTAAACTAAACAGTTGCTGCCTAATAGCTTCGAATTTGTTTCAAAGAAAAAGTATTCAACAAAAAGCGATTAATTTTATTGACGAATTATAAATTTTTCAAAAAATGAAAATCTCGCTGTTTTTAGAATATTAAAAAACCAACTAAAATAACATTTTTTTTCGAATTGATGATTTTTTAAACTTATGAGTTTCGTTATTTGAGATTTTAATAGTTTAAAGGAAAATTTTCATGTGAATTAATCAGCTGTTATCATTTGTTTCCTCTGAAAAAAAAAATCTTTTTTTTTTTTCAAAGGAAACATATCGTTATTGCTAATTTTTTTTCTGCTCAGAATGCGCCAAATTTTTATTTATTCTAAATAATATTAGCTATAATACAATTTATCTTTGTAAGTATTGTTTGCGCTTCTTTCATTCTTTGCATCAAATTATCCCAGCTTAGATATCCTCTTAACCTTATTGCTACGGGGTCAGCACCTATTATACTTATCGATACATCTTCCGTCGTATGCTAATAATACTTTGTTTCTGTGTCGGCAATATTTGTATAAAAAAATAATGAAAGTATTAAAAAAATTCATCCCTCTATACTCATACCATCTAGTTGGGACTGAGCAGGGACATTTCGAATTACTTTTAAATTATTTAATTATAAAAAAAAAAATTGGAGTGGATAGGAAAATAGATGCAAATAGATGTAAATATAATAAAATGAAACCAAATGAAATTAATCAGAATCAGGATTGATTATTAAAATTGCCATGAACCAATTTTAAAAATAAGTTTGAAAACAATTTAATGAAAAAATTTAAATTTTGTTGCATATATTTGAGATTAGAAAAACAGTTTAATTTAAGTGATTTAAATAAATAATTTAGATGACTTTTTTATTTTTCCACACTTTTTATTTTTCCCAACAATTAATTTTTTGCTAAAATTT